GCATTACAGCTCTAGAATTCAATTGTTATCCTAACCAGTTGATATCAATTTAATTCCTAAGAGTTATGTACTTGTTTTGAGTATCTAATGTAGAAGTTATAACCAAGTTCATTTATGAAACAGTCTAAATGAATGATATACTGAACGTATGTCCTCTTGATATATGTAACTCTTTGTGACTGTTTGAATATATACCTTTTGGATTCTGATAACCCTCTCGATAAGATCTGTTAGGTTTATATGCATATTTTATGTATTAAGAAATGTATTCTTGTGTATTAGTACCTATGTGTGTGTGTTGTTTGAGTTATACCACAAGGTTGGATTCTAAAGCCATCAAAATAATCAATTTTGTGATTTACTGCTACAATTAATAATTGTCCCAGTAAATGCCCAAACCCTACAGAACTGGTGCCTTCAGAGAGCACACTACATAAGTGAAAAGAAGTTAACAACCTCAGCAGCTAACAAACTTAAATTTGACATATTTCAGCAAAATGTATTTGCTGAATTTAACAGATTGAAAAAAATAAAACAGTAAATATGGCATGTGCAAAAGTTTGGGCACCCTATCAGTCAGTACTTAGTAACACCCCCTTTGGCAGAACTCTCAGCCTCAAACATTTTTTGTAGCCAGCTAACAGTCTTTCTATTCTTGCTTTTGGGATTTTTTCCCATCTTCTTTGCAGAATGCTTCTAGTTCAAAAATATTATACCCACAGATTTTCAATATAAGTAGTTCATAGTTAATTTTGAGGTATGTTTTGGATCATTGTCTTCTTGTAATATCTAACATCTTTCCAGCTTCAGTTTCTGCACTGGCTGTGGGATATTAGCTTCCAGTATTTGTTAATACTTAGTAGAATGCATTATTCCCTCTACCCACAATATTTCCTGTGCCACTGGCACATAACCCCAAAGCATAATAGATCCACCCTACACGCTTAACAGTTGGCAAGGTGTTCTTTCCTTCAAATTCTTCTCCCTTTTTTCTCCCAACGTACCTTTGGTGATTGTAGCCAAAGAGTTTAATTTTTACTTCATCAGACCACAGCACTTATCCAAGTGTTATGTTGCATACTTCAGACTTTGACTTTTGTGATGAGATCACAGGTAAGGTTTCCTTCTGATGACTCTTCCATGCAGATCATGTTTGAGTAAGCAAAGCTGCACAGTGGATCAGTGCACCACTACTTCTGTGCCAGCTACACCTTCCTGCAGTCCTTTGCAGTGATATGGGGGTTTTACTTTGCATTCTTGACCAGTCTACGAGAAGTTCTATCTGAGATATTTCTAGGTTTTCCATATCTTTTCTTGACTTCAACAGTTCCCTTTAACTTCCACTTCTTAATTACATTTCGAAGAGTAGAAAAAGAAAGCAGGAAGCATTTAGATATCTTTTCATAGCCTTCCCCTGCTTTGTAAGAGTCAATTATCTTTATTTTCTGATCCTCAGTCAGCTGCTTAGAGGAACCCATGGTTGTTCAGTGTAAACACAACACCCTGAGAGGTTTGAAGAGTCAGAGAATGTATAAAGCTCTGGAATTGTCATCACCTGACTTAAATTAAGGCCTAACGAGTCAATTACATTCTGAGACCTTACAAAAAAATAACACTAGTGGATCAACTGGAAGGGTGCCTAAACATTTGCACATGCCACATTTACTGTTTTATTTTTTTCAATCTGTTAAATTTAGGAAATAAATAGTAACTGTGCATTCATATTTGCAGAAACATGTCAAGTTTAAGGTTGTTTACTGCAGAGGTTGTGTTAACTTTTTTTCACTTAGAAAATCAACAAAACATGCAATTTGGCCAAAGGTGCCCAAACTTTTGCATACAACTATACCTCCTTGTGAATCATCAGTTGTTTGAGTGTATGTGCTCATTATTTTAGGTATAGAGAAAAATACAGAAATCAACCTACATGCAGTAAAAAATATTTGAAAAGTATTTTAAAGGAACAGATACACTTAACAGAATTTCTAGAGATTATGTAGTTAATGTACTGTAAATGTTAAATGAAAATGTTTTTGATGGCTATTGTGTGCAATGGAATGGAATCACTCAGAGCTGAGAAACACAAAAGAAGGAACTACTGAATACATAAATGGTATCTTCTCCATTTTGAATAATGACTTCAATCTTATTATAAAATAAATGAATATTAATCAAAAATGCTTCTGCAGGTTTAGAAAAAATGGTCCCTTGTTAACAGTAATTTATCTGCATTACTCTTCCAAGGCACACAGGCTGATAAGATAAGACCACTTTATTAGCCATATACAATTACTCTCATTAGGAATTTGTATTTTTCACATACCCCAGGTTGCTCTCCATGAGACACACAGGCAGGGAGAGAGAAGCTTGGGGTCAGAGCGTAGGGTCAACCATTTATATGGCACCCCTGGAGCAGCTGGGGTTAAGGGCCTTGCTCAGTGGCCCAATGGCATAGGATTCCTCTGCCAGCCATGGGATTTGAACCAGCAGCCTTCCAGCCACAGGCACAAATCCTTAGCCACAGTGCCACCACTCCACCCAGCCACTCAACAAAGGGCAATATCATTTTTATGTTGAAGTAAAATTATAGGTTGCTATTTTATCTTGATGATAAATAATGTTGTCAGCAACATCATGCAGAAGAGTTTGTAGATGGCTGTTTTTTTTCAACAAAATACAGTTACAAGTTTACAAAAAATAAAAATATACTAAACCAAGGATATTAAATACAAAATATCCTTACTATGGTTTCCCATTTTCTGAAATTACAAAATGATGCACACATATACATTTAATTTTCTATTCAAAACCCAAATGTTCAAACTGAAGACTGCTAAAGATAAGATAAATTAAAATAAGTCAGTGAATATTTATTGACTTCACTATGAAAATGAAACACAATGCCCCACATCACTTAACACAAAGGCAAGTCATAATGGCGATCTTAATTACAGTATTCAACCTGATTTTTAAAAAAATGTGTGTGTAAAAATCTGTTTTAGCAAAACATCAGTCCAACAATAATGATGTTATTTCTGGTATGTCCTGTACTTACAATTTCTATTATCACGGAGTCTGGGGTCCTTGCAGAAAACACAAAACCAAGAGTTTTTGCTGCCCGTACTAAGGCACCTTCATCTGTAATAACAAAAGAACCACAGCAATCAGAATAAAAAAAAGATAGGCTGCAATCCAGTTTAAATGGCCAATTGCTACAGTTAAGCAAAATGGGAACATAATTAAAAAACAGGAAATTTAAAACATACAAATGTGTTGTCTGACACATTGGGCACTGCTATTTTATGATGATTACAACAGATGGCATTGAAAACCTTTTTTTGCAGTTTAGTTTAACACAGGGTAGGCCAATAAGCTCACATAATGTGGTATTTAAAATATTCAGTGATAATTCAATTATTTTCTTAATCTCAAAATGTTTTGATGTAAATGTCAGTAGTAGTTGTTTATAAAAATCATGTTCTCAAGTTACCATTTTTGAATGAGATTTTTAGCATCTTTCCTACCCGTTCTTCTGTTGAGAGTTCGCTTTGTATTATTTGTAAATCTGAAATCTTATCCAGATGATACAATTCAATAGATAACTAAGTTATGAAGGTATCCAATGAGGCCAAGATAAGGAAACCACCTGAAAAGCTCTATTTTGGTGGCAAGGTTGTTGTGTTGTTTTTATGTAGGATAGTACAGTAAATTAGTGCTGGGAAAAATATTCATATATTTTAAACAAACATGTTAATAGATGTGGAAAAATAAAAAAATATATATATATTTGTTTGTTTGTTTGTTTGTTTGTTTTTTTTCAGACATTAAGGTGGACATAATCATTGAGCACTCATTACAACATTCTGGACATATTTTCCATATATACTACTTCACTTTGCTTGAGTGACTTGTGGAAATTCTCCCTGTAGAACTGAGTTAGCTCCTTCACGTTTAAAAAAGCAGGCAGTACACCTGTGGTGAAGCTGTGGTAGTGGCAGGTCTTTATACTAAACAGGGCCCCTGAAGAATGTCTGACACCTAACCTTTGTGATGCTATGTTCAAAGATGTTCAAAGATATGTGGCCTGGCATGAGCAGGGACATATTGATTACCCCAGATGGTGTGTGATATTTCTACAGGATGAGGTTGGACAGGTAATTACGGTTAAAATGGGGCATGCGCCCCAACACACAGGGCTGTGGACACACCTCCAGAAAGACTTTACTGAGCCACTGCCACCAAGTGGAGGGAATTAATTTGTGATAATTGATCTAGTTACTAGGTGGGTCAAAAGCATTCCTGTGTAAAGCATGTATAGCTGCAGCAAAGTTCCTAGGCACAGAAGTTTTCCACAGTGGAGGACTGCTTACATGATTGATGCAGGTAAGGGTACACACTTTACAGGGAAAACTATTAAATTGGCATTGGGATTGTTGGGGGTACAGCAAAGGCTCCACATCCCATTCTACCCCCAGAGTTCAGGCATGGCAGAGAACCAAAAGCTAAAAATACAACTTAGCAAGGCACTGCAAGAGACGGGCAAAGGATGTCTGGTGCTGCCTGCCATTCTATGGTGCATTAGGGCAAAGCCAAACCAAATGATAGGATTGATACTATTTGAAGTGATGATAGAATGATTAATGCCGTTATCAAATGACATACCACCAGTAGTGGCAGAGGAGAGGAACATATTGTTCCAGGAAAAAACTTTTAGCTAGACAGTTTAACCAGAGGAGACATGAAGCAAGTGAGGGAGAGACACGAGTGAAGTGCAGTGGTGGCTATGGAATCTGGAGGAAAGACTGTAGACACAGCTGTTGAACTCCAACAAGAGGCATCCTTAAAGTCTGCCAAGCCATCCCTGGAACCCCGTTATACACCGGCATAGTCTGATATAGACTCAAAGTACCTTCTATTGAGGAGAGTGGCCTTATCCTGAGGCAAGATCCAAAACACCATTGGTTGTGGGGCACACTGGGAATGGGGGAATGTTGGGGTGGAAATTGTGAGGCTTTGTACATGTGTATTTTCATTCTTTTTAACTAAGTTTTTTGAGAAGCACTGTCTGTGACAGGTAATCCTAAGATGGAAGCAATCACTAGGTGCACTGACAATTCAAAATAATGAAAAAATCAACAACGGTAAGATACAAGACAGTTACTTTTACTGGTAACATCTAATAACGGATGTAAGAAAAAAAATGTGTACCACTCTGAAAATACTATAACTCCCATGGACTAAAAATAAAGACCTCCATTGTGGCATCAGCTGACTCCTTTTTTTGCGTCTTGAGAGGAATACAAAGAAAGTTTCCCAACAGTATTTAGCATTTTCAACTATACTAATATTCAGTTTTCCATTTTTATTGTTTTTTTTCCAAATACTACAGAACTGATGTGAAAACAAAGTCCTTTTCATAGATAGCTTCTAAAAGTTCAGTTTTATATAACTTATATCTAGAGTTTAGGTTTTGCTACCTTTACGTTATACCCTTCCCTTACTTACAATAAATGTCACCAGCCAGGTCTTTTGGCATCTTCTTGAGTTTTGTCCTTTACTATTTTGAAGACAATGCCCCACTTTTGGTATCATCATAGAATTAGTTTACCAACTATACTAGAATCTAAAATATTAACACAGGGTAGACAGTGCTCACACCAGAGATCCCTGTAGTATTTTACTAACCTAACCATTTTTATTGAACTCTTATGTTTACATGTTTATAGCAGAACAATATTAAAATTACATCAAACCTATGTGACATTGCCAGCATTTTGTTTTATGAATGTACTGACCCTCAAATATGGGAACATATTTTTAAAAGTGCAAAAAGGTGCAATTTGAAATTTGATGTCTGAAGTGTATAGAGCACACAATATTATGTTTACTGTGGCATGTTCTTCCACTTTCAAAGACTTCAAGTCAGGCAATATCAAATATTTTTAATCAAGCTTTTGTATATATTTTGGGGATCATTATTTTAATTTGATCTTAGTTTTTTGCACTGCCTGACTGTTGCTGCTCTTCTGTTACCAAATGTCTGTGGTGATTCCGTGGATTTGGATTTGAATAATTTTTCCACAGTGCTGTCATCACACAGCTCTGGGTAGACTATATCCTGAAGTCTTTACCCATTTCCCAGAGCATGTGCACTCTAGGACTGGATGCCTAAATTTGCATGATCTCTTACAGTTTAATGTCTGTGGCAGGCCAGTGATAGTGACATATTAATTATCACATAAATTCTGACCTACAACTTAAGGTTGTTCAGGCCCCTACAACTTGTACAATATAGTCTTACATGTGGCATCTTCTTGAGTTTTGTCCTTTACTATTTTGAAGACAATGCCCCACTTTTGGCATCATCATAGAATTAGTTTACCAACTATACTAGAATCTAAAATATTAACACAGGCTAGACAGTGCTCACACCAGAGATTCCTGTGGTAGTTTACTAACCTAACCATTTTTATTGAGCATTGAACTCTTATGTTTACATGTTTATAGCAGAACAATATTAAAATTACATCAAACCTATGTGACGTCCCCTTCCTGTTACTTAGTCCTAACTCATTCTAAACCTCCTCAAAAGTTAGGTGTTATCAGTTTCTCTTCTGGGTATCTTAGCTACCTGCTAAGATACCTGCTAGAAAAGGACTCTTATTTAGAGTCTTAACAATCCATCAGTTTGGTATGGCAACTTGGACAGTTATACCAAAGGAAAACGGGAAAGAATTTTTCAGCCCCTCCTTTCGGGAAAATGCTTTAAATTGATCTTTTCAAGAACTGCTCATTTCAAACATAGCTTCTTTCCCACCGCCATATGAGTTTTGAACTCTCTCCCTTCAGCTACTTAGCCTCTCTTGAGCATCTCTTTTGCAATTCTTGTAAAGTTTTCCAAATATGATTGCGCATGTGATTGTGTTCTCATTTCAACTCGTTTCTTTGTATAGGTAGTACGTCTGCAAGTATGTCTTGCAAATTCCACCAACTATTGTTGTGTGGCAATAAAGAATTATAATTCTAATTCCAATTATAATTCTGACTGCTGTAAAAGAAGAAGCTGGAGGGAGACCTCAAAGAACTTGAGTGCCACATACAGACGACAAACAAAGGCCAATATGAGGCTCTTAACCACTACACAAGTCACAGGTCCAGAGGTAGAAAGCTGGAAGTTGGTAGATGGTTGCACTGCCAGGGGGGAAGTGCTGACCCAAGGAAAGCGAGAAGAAAGCGAACAGCCTGGAGGCTGACCTCATGCAGCATCTATTAGCAGCAGAGGAAGCACACGAGCAGACTGAGGCTGAGAAGGAAAAACAAAGAGTGCTGAAGACTCCATAGTGCCCACAGGGGGTACAACCAGAGGAGCTAAGGACTGAGACGTGACTGCTGCTACAGATACTGTACAAGATCTGATGTCCGAGTCTTCTATGCCATTTACAGAGGACTGACCATGGACCTAAAGATCTATGATTTTTCTGAAACTAAATTGTGAGTTTGGAAGTTTTGAGAAGACTCTCAGTCTATGAATTTGATGAAATTCTATGTTTTTTAATTCATGTGTTATTCTGGACTTCATTCTCAATATTAATGTTATTGAGTTTATCATTTTGCATTTATTAGACCCACCTACTCTACTAACTGCTTTAAGTGTAAAACGCATTTGTAATGGTAAAAACACACAACAAATTATACCGGAAGAATGGATGAATAGATAAGAAACTTCAGTTGTCACTGGTTCTTTGATTTAACTAAAGTTATCATGTACTCACAGAATTTACTGTTAACATTTCTAATTGTTACAATAATACAGTCCAACAACAGAATATAAAAAAAACGTGTGTCATGTTGTGCTGAGGCAGCAAATGTACTGCAAATCAACTCAAAGCGCTTTACAGGTAATGAGGACTGACCTCCAACACCGCCAGTGTTCAGCACTCATCTGGATGATGCAACGGCACCCATAGTGCGCCATTACTCTTACCACACATCAGCTATTAGTGGGGAGGAGAACAGAGTGATGAAGCCAATTCATAGATGGGGAGGTCATGATTGGTAAAGGGCAATGGGAAATTTGGCTAGGAAGCTGGGGTAACACTCCTACTCTTTTTGATAAATGCCCTGGGATTTTTAATGAC